GGTGGATGAAGTAGAAAAAAGTTGACTAACGAATAAACCGTTAAGTCTGGCAATTTCGTCCTTTATTAAAACATTGATATCCTTCACCTTGTCACGCTGACCTAGTTTGTAAAAGGTTTCTTTGCGACGTCTCAAATGTTTGAGGTTTGGTGAGGAGATTCTGTCAGGCCTGACCATAACAGTTTCACGGGGACAACAAATATCAAAAACGTGATTCAAAAATAGCGTAAGATAAATAGAGCATAATTCAGCATTTGGTAGTGCTAGAAAAGTTGGGATGGTATTAGTAATTAAACTCTGCAGTAAGTGGATCTTATCTACGGATGTGTCTCGAACAGTAATTTTCCTCTCGGGTTTTGTAAGCAGTTGACGCTTAGAGGTGGAATAGACTTTTGGAAGTCCTAGTAGCACTGAGTGATCAGACCCGGAGAGTGGAGCTCTATTTTTAATACAAAAATTTTTAATCCAAAAATCCGTTCAGTGTATTTTTCGACTGCGACCTTCTTCTAACCCTGATTCCTCTGACATTCTTCCTAACGAAGTATCCTCTTTCAGGTATCTCGGCGTTACCTTGTCCTCAAATCTTTCTTTTTCCCTCCATATTGAGTCCCTATTTATTAAAGTCCGTAAACTCCTTTACTACATTCGTCGTTTACGTTCCTACCACACACCTCAACCCTTAGTCTGGCGATTCCTTTATGCCTGCATTCTTCCTCTTATCCTGTACTGTCCTCCTGTAATTTATCCTGCTTTGTTAAAAAAGGATCTTTTTATTTTGAAACGAATCCTCCGCATGCTCTCTTCTGCTGCTGGAGTTTCTTATATTTTTAAGTTGACACTATCTTACAACGACACTTCAATGCGGTCAAGCAATTCGCTGGTCGAATTCTAGATGACGTTGCCCATCCTCTACAATCCGAGCTTATGTCTGCCAAGTCTTCCCGCCCGATGCGCCGCAACTTCCGTCTTATATCTTGTCGCACATCGGCTTATCGAGCTTCTGTATTGCCATTCCTAGCGCGCTATCTTACGTGCTAAGAGACAGAAATACAGAAGCTAAGACTTGAACTATCCCTATAATAATCGTTTCTTTGTGTTAAAATTTGACTCTTGAATAATCTATTAACTTATTTACTGCCCATAGTGAATGGAGCCAACTTTTTGCTGAAAATTTTGAACATATGATTTCAAAATAAAACGCATTCCTCTCTCTCTCTCATTCCACCGCCTATTTGTACTACATCTAAGCGCTCCCTCTTCTTTGCTTCCAAATATGCCTTCCTTTGGAATAATCTTCCGCCTGAAATTAGATTATCGCCTAAGTTACTGGTATTCAAGTCGAAATTACGCAAACATTTTACACCGGAAAGCATAAAGACACTGTTAACGGTCTCATACCCGGACACCCTGATACTAGATTTCGAGAAGTGTCCTCAAGGGATTTACTGGTAGATCTAGTGGTAACTCTTAATTATATCATTAGAAACCCCTGTTTTGAATTGGTTTCTAAATCCACTGCTATCACTCCTCCCCCATGGCGACAATTTTTGCTGTTTTTGATGTCATGTCCCGCATTCAGGCCTCGTGCGGTCTGTCGACGCTCACGGCGGAACCCTCAGTATTCACTGTCTACTAGGAGTTCGGTTGTACCTCCCTTCCCCACTGCTCGGCTGAGCTCGAAGCGTGTTGTGGCCGATCGCATCTGGGTTCCTCTCGTCTGGCCTCTTTGACGCGGCGTATCAATCCGGCCCAGACGATCTCAATTGTGAATCCCGTATACAATGCCATATACAAGCCAGTCCTGTCTGACCCACATTCGTACCCCTCCAGGCTGAGCTTTATTGCTACCCTGACGATGACCGACAACATTCCGTTATATGCCGCCACCTACAAGCCAGTTCTGCTCACTTTTTCTGTCATTATTTTTATTGAGGGTTTATTTCTCCTGTAAAATTAATCCCATCATTTTTAACTTTTTGTAAGGAGTTTTTTTTCACCCCTCAATTATCATGTTTCTCATTGGACTAATAATTCAGAAACCATGAATTTCATTTTGTAAAGATTCGGCCTATCTCGTCTAAAACTCGCATATGAATTTATTTTAACTTTCTTTAATGGGACCCCGACGGGTCTCTAATAAAAATTATCTATGTATCTGTCTATCTAACTGTCCCCGTCGAGTCCGTCACCATCATCTCTTTTGGAAGCCCGATAGATATATTGGCGGCTAGATGTAAAAGCCAGTATATGCGTGCATGCATTTTGGATGGGGCTCCTCGACGTTTCGGGGAATTCACACACGAGTTTATTGTTGTGGCCCAGGCGAAAGAATCATCGAACTGCAAAGCACAGTCCCGATACCTCACAATCTCGTAGGCGTAAATAAGATCTTGGATCTGCGTGTATGCAGGGGGAGATAATTTAAGGTCGTCAAATCTGCAGCTGTAAAATAAAGTCTTGATGCATT